TTGGCAACATTTTCATGCAATGCCCAATCAAAGTTGGAGGATGCGAAGACAATTTAGACATATCCTGAGATACGACAGAGTTAAAAGACAAGTATGGGCTAAGAACACTATCCACATCCAGTGACTTTCCAGATCCTTTCCAACCCACTCTGTATTAATACAATCTTCAATTAGAACTGAGTAAGAAGAAAAAGGTATTCACTAGAGTCCAAGTTACTTCTCATACCATAAGCAGTCAGAATAGAAAACCGTCCACACTTCCTAAGGCACTCTGTATAGTGGGCAGGGTCCTATGTCAGGAGCTTAGGCCTTGAAAATGCTTTATTTTAAAATGCGAGTAGTGCATCTGATCACCTATTCTTAATGCCCCCTGATGGGGTTTAGGACAGGCTACATCAAAATATGGCATCTTGGCGTATTGGGTATTTTATGCTGAAGGCATATGAGAAAACAGTAGAAGAGTGAAGATCACTGACTTTCCCGCTGCTACTCTTCTCCCCTGAAGAAGGTAATAAGGCCCTCATATGAGAGGTACTCTATACCAGGAGTTAAGAAGCATCTCCAAGTACAAGGGGACACCAAGAAGAATCTGAACAAACAGGCCTTGCTAAGTTTCTCCCAGTTTATGACACTTAGTTCTCATCTTTCCACAACTTTCTAGTCTTCATCAAACCTAACATAAACAAACAGAAATGTAACCATTTCTTTGAGTCTTTATTTCCTTATAAAGGTTCAGGTCTTGTGTAAAACTTATATTAAATAGATTTATATGCTTTTCTTCTGTTGATCTGTCTTTGTCAGTTTAATTTCCAGACCCAGCCAGACACCCTATGAGGGACAAAGAAAACATCTTTCTTCTTTACACCCCCTTCCACAATTTATACCTACTTTCTACTACCTAACTAGAACGAAACTTTTGTCAATGTTGACTATTACCTCAAAACTGTCATCAATTTAATCTTAATCTATTGTACACCCTATTATTACATAGACTATATTGGGTGAAAAAAGTTCAAGGATACATATACAAACTGTATAGGATATGATGTATGTGTTTTGGTAAATATTGTTTTTAGTCTTACTTGAGAATAGGTACTAATTTTAGAGATGTGTCCTTAAAAGAAGTATTGAAGACCTAATTTTTAAAACATAGGTATGTATATAAACACCAAGTTGCTCTTTTTTTTGGCTTTTTTAAAAATAGTATTTATTTTTTACGGTGACATCGGTTAACGAAATCTGATAT